CACCTCACACCAGTCAGAATGGCTAAAATTAACAAGTCAGGAAACGACAGATATTGGCGAGCATGTGGAGAAAGGGGAACCCTCCTACACTGTTGGTGAGAAGGCAAGCTGGTGCAGCCACTCTGGAAAACAGTATGGAGGTTCCTCAAAAAGTTGAAAATAGAGCTACCCTATGACCCAGCAATTGAACTACTGGGCATTTACCCCAAAGATACAAATGTAGGGATCCAAAGGGGTACTTGCACCCCAATTTTATAGCAGCAATGTCCACAATAGCCAAACTATGGAAAGAGCCAAGATGTCCATTGACAGATGAATGGATAAAGAAGATGTGGAGTATATATACAATGGAATATTATGTAGCCATCAAAAAAACCAAACTAAATATTGCCATTTGCAATGACATAGATGGAACTAGAGGATTATGCTAAGCGAAATAAGTCCATCAGGAAAGACAAGTATCATATGATCTCCCTGATATGAGAAATTTAAGAGACAAGACAGAGGATCATAGGGGAAGGGAGGAAAAAATGAAACAAAATGAAACCAGCGAGGGATACAAACCATAAGAGGCTCTTAATCTCAGGAAACAAACTGAGGGTCGCTAGAGTGGTGGGAGGCTGGGCGATGGACATTGGGGAGGGTATGTGCTATGGTCAGCTCTGTGAATTGTGTAAGACTGATGAATCACAGACCTGTACCTCTGAAACAAATAACACATTATATGTTTAAAAAAAGAAGAAGAAGAAGATAGTAGGAGGGGAAAATGAAGGGGGTGAATCAGAGGGGGAGTCAAACCATGAGAGACTATGGACTCTGAGAAACAAACAGGGTTTTGGAGTGGGGGGATGTGTTAGCCCAGTGATAGGTATTAAGGAGGGCACATAATGCATGGAGCACTGGGTATTATATACAAACAATGAATCATGGAATACTACATCAAAAACTAATGATGTAATTTATGGTAATGTATAGTGACTAACATAACATATAATAAAATAAATTAATAAATTAATTTAAAAAAATAAATTTTTTTAAAAACTTGAATGAGAAGACACTGATGCTGATACCAAGATCAAGCTGATGTCAAAATTAAATTATAAGGATTTTAAAGTATCTGTCATTAAAATATTTCAACAAGCAAATACACATTCTCTTTTTTTTTAAGATTTATTTCTTTATTTTAGAGAGAGAGCACGAGTGGGAGCAGTAGAGGGAGAGGGAGAGAGAATCTCAAGCAGACTCTGAGCTGAGTGTGGATCCTGACAGGGGGCTGATCTCAGAACCCTGAGATCCCAACCTGAGCCAAAACCAAAAGTCAAATGCTTAATCAACTGCACCACCAGGTGTCCCGCAAATGCACATTCTCTTGATAGAAAATCCCAGTAAAGACATAGAAGTTACAAAAATATGAAATGGGGATTATAGAATGGAAAAATACAATAACAGAAATTTTTTAAATTGCTGGATGAGGTCAATGGTAGAGTGGAGATAACATATGATGGAATCAGTGAACTTTACAATAAATCAATAGAATTTGCCAATCTGAATAACAGAAAGTAGACTGAAAAAGAAATAACAGAGTTCTAGAGACGTGTGAGGCAAACAAAAAAGCCAGCATTCATATAGTTGGAGTCTCAGAGGAGAGGAAAACTGAGTGGGGCTGAATATATACTCAAAGAAATAATGGCTGAAAACTTCCCAAATTTAGAAAAAAAACTACACTTATAGAATGAAAAAGGTAAGTGGATCCCAAATTAAAAAAAAAAAATACATGCAAAGCAAACATTATAATTAAATTTCTGGAAACTGAAGACAAAGAAAAGATCTTCAAAGTAGACAGAAAAACAACACACAACCAATAGCAGAATACTAATTCAATTGACATTGGGTTTCTCATCTGAAACCATGAAGGCCAGAAGTGGCACACTTTTCAAGAACTGAAATTTTTAAAAACCTGCCAATCATAAATTCTATAGCCATTGGAAATATTTTTTTAGAAATGAAGAGAAAATAAAAACTGTCCACTGAAAGAAAATGGAGATAATTTTCACTAGCGAACCTATCCTTCAAGAATAGGTAAAAGAAGTTCTTTAAACAGAGGGGAAGGATTACAAAAGAAAGCTTGCACCTTCAAGAAAGAAAAAAGAAAATGAGAATGGGTAAAAATAGGATTAAATATAATATTCTTCTCATGAACTTCTTAAATCATATTTGATGATTAAAATAAAAATTGTGAAGTTCTGATGTGATGTTCAATGTATGTAGAGAAATACTTAAGATAATTATATTCAAAAAGGAGGGAGAGTAAAGGGATTTAAGTAAAAGTAAGGTAGTAAAATTTGATGCCAGTAGACTATGATAAGTCATACAGGTATATTGCAACCACTAAAAAAACTATACAAAGTGATATACTCAGAAACACTATAAATAAATCAAGATGGAATCCAAAAAATTTTAGGTAATTCACAGGAAGGCAAGAAAAGAGAAACAGAATAAGAAACAATAGAAACATAAATATTAATAGCAGCTTTACTTGTAATAGCCAAAAGCTGGAAAGAACCCAAATGTCCTTCAGTGGGTTGAATGTTTAAACAAACTGTGGTACAACCATACTACTATGGAATACTATTCAGCAATAAAAAGGGACACACTACTGATACATGTAACAACCTGGATTAATCTCAAGGGAATTATGCTGAGTGAAAAAAGACAATCTCAAAAGGTTACGTACTGTATGACTCCATTTATATAGGTCTTGAAATAACAAAATTATAGAAATAGAGAACATCTAGATGTTGGTGGAGGTTAAAGTTGGGGGAAGGGGTGTGGAATCAGATGGGACTCGGAAAGGGAGAAGCAGGAGGGAGTGAGAGGGAAGTGGTTGTAATAATAAAAGGAGAAGGTTCTTTGTGGTAATGGAACTGTTCTGTATCTTGACTGTAATGGTGAAAACACAAAACTACACATGCAATAAAATACACACAAATGAGCATGTAAAATTGATGAAATCTGAATAATGGTTTATATTTATACCAATTTCCTGATTCTGATATTGTACTATACAATAATTATGCAAAATATTACCATTTGGGAAACTGTGTAAAGGCTGTATAGGATCTCTCTGTATTATTTCTTTTTTTGTTGAGAATAATTGATATAACATCATATTAGTTTTAGGTGTATAACATAATGTTTTGATATTTGTATATTTTGTGAAATGATCACCACAAACAGTCTAGTTAACATCCATCACCACACATAATTACAAATTTTTTTCTTGTGATAAAAACTCTTAAGACTTACTCTCTTAGCAACTTTCAAATATACAATACAGCATTATTAACTATAATCACCACGTTTTACATTACATCCTATGACTTACTTATTCTACAAGTGAAAGTTTGCTCCTTTTTACCCCTTTTACCCATTTTGCCCACCCCCACCTCCCGTCCTCTGGCAACCACCAATCTCTTCTCTGCTATGAGTTCAATTTTTGTTTTGTTTTATTTTATAGATTCCATATATAAGTGAGATCATATGATCTTTGTCTTTCTCTGTCTGATTTGACTTAGCATAATACCCTCAAGTTCCATTCATGTTGTGACCAATGACAAGATCTCATTCCTTTTTATAGCTAAATAATATTCATATATATATATCCTATTTTATTTATCCATTCAGCCATCAATAGACACAGGTTTATTCCATGTCTTGGTTATTGTAAACAATGCTTCAATGAATATGGGGGTGCATATATCTTTTTGAGTTAGTGTTTTCATTTCCTTCAGATAAATATTCAGAAGTGGGATTGATGGATCATATGGTAGTTCTATATTTTATTTTCTGATGGACTCCCATACTATTTTCCATAGTGGCTGCATGCTTCCCAAAATAGGGCACAAGGGTTTCTTTTTTTCTCCACGTCTCTGCCCACACTTGAATAGTCATTCTTCTAAGAGATGTGAAGTGATACCTCATTGTGGTGTTGTTTGCGTTTCCCTGATGATTAGTGAGCACGTTTTCATGTGTCTGTTGACCATTTGTATGTGTTCTTTGAATAAATGTCTATTCAGGTCCTCTGTCCATTTTAATTGGGTTATTTGTGGGTTTTTTTTTTTTTTTGGTGTTGACTTGTATGAATTCTTTATATATTTTGGATATTAACCCCTTATCTGATCTATCATTTGCAAATATTTTTCCCCATTTGGCATTTTGCTTTTTTATTTTGTTGATGGTCTCCTTTGCTGTGCAGAAGCTTTTTAGTTTGATGTAGCCCACCTTGTTTCTTTTGCTTTTGTTGCCTTTGCTTTTGGTGTCAAATCCAAAATATCATTGCCAACATCGATGTCAGGGAACTTACCTAGCTTTCTTCAAGGATTTTTATGGATTCAGGTCTTATGTTCATGTCTTTAATCTATTTTGAATTAATTTTTGGGTATGGTGTAAGAGTGATCCAGTTTCATTCTTTTTCATATGACTGTCCATTTTTCCCAACACCATTTATTGAAGAGATGATCCCTTCACCATTGTATATTCTTGGCTCCTTTGTCATATATTAATTAACCATATATGCATGAGTATATTATTTCTCTTTTCTTTTTTAAATATGGAACACTTCACAAATTTGCATGTCCTCCTTATACAGGGGCAATGTTAACCTTCTCTGTATCATTCCAATTTTAGTATATGCAGTGCTGAAGCAAGCACAGTATATTATTTCTTATGCCAGCATTTGCATCTATAATTTTCTCAAAATACAAATTTTTAATAAATGGCTCTTCCAGAAGACCATTTATAGGCCTAGTGCCAATATGATTTTCTCCTCTCATAGGAAAAAGATAGGAATAAATTATGGTGGTAATAATGATTCTCCAGGAAATCTCACCAGGGTCTCTGTACGTTTCTCAGAAAGAAAAATTTCACATTATTACAACAAATGGAACATAAAATGCTTTCAGAGTTTCTATATAAACTCTCTTTGCATAAGCTATTCCAAATTACTTTTTTTCTTACAAATTGAAGAGGTTTTTAATTGTTATGTTAATCACCATACATTACATCATTAGTTTTTGATGTAGTGTTCCATGATTCATTGTTTGCGTATAACACCCAGTACTCCATTCAATATGTGACCTCTTTAATACCCATCACCAGGCTAACCCATCCCCCCACTCCCCTCCCCTCTAGAACCCTTCAGTTTGTTTCTCAGAGTCCATAGTCTCTCATGGTTCATCTCCCCCTCCGATTTTCCCCCCTTCAAATTATTTTTTTAAAGTCGTTGCTAAAAGTCAAAAAGGAAGCAAAGGAAGCTGCCCATTAGACCCACCTCAAAGAGGTTAGATATAACTCCGTATTTTAATAGAATACCAGATTATAGGAAATAATCTTATTCTACCTCTAAAAATTAGGAAACCAGATTGGCTCAGTCACACGGAAAAAAAAATTTTCATGTCTCCATGAGACAAGTAAGAGGTGAAAACCAACCTGACAATTTATAATATTGTGTATCAGTGTTTTGAGTAGAGATTAAGAGGTCAGCAGAAACCACTTTGGTTTCTAAGTATTTTGGTGTCCAGAAATTGTTGCAGTGCATATTTTAAAATAATATAAATGGATTTAGTCTGAAGAAACTAGAGTCCCCTAACATGGCACATGCAATAATGGGTCAGTTCCAGGTAACAATATTCTTTTATCTCCAGACAAATTGAACCATGGGTGTTTTGTTTGCTTGTTTGTTTTAAAGATTTTATTTATTTATTTCACAGAGAGAGAGAGAGACAGCGAGAGAGCAAACACAAGCAGGGGCAGTGGGAGAGGGAGAAGCAGGCTTCCCTCGGAGCTGGGAGCCTGATGCGGGGCTCGATCCCAGGATCCTGGGATCATGACCTGAGTCGAAGGCAGACGCTTAACGACTGAGCCACCCAGGCACCCAAGAACCATGGGTGTTTTTCTAAGCCAATGTAATATATGTATAAATAATGTCATACAAAAGATCATCTTCAGTAAGACAACCTGGATAGAAGGAGAGAGCAGTCCTTTTGCTCTGAGGATAAAATGTTCTGTTCAAGTTTAGGGTCTAAAATGGATTCCAAAACTGTGATCTGAGACTTAAACTAGAGAGGGAGAGTGATTAGACATAAACTATCTATTATATATAAAATGCATATGTATGTGTAAATGGATTGAAAGATGTATAGACTTTACACAAAGAGATCAATGGAAAATTGATTAAACCCATTTTATTTCTTTGCGTTTTTTCAATCATTTATATACAATTAAAATCAAGTCAAATCACCAGCTATATTTTATCTTAAAGCATCACAGGATTTATGCCAAAACTCTCATTTATATTTTTTTAAAAATAATTCAAGTTTACTAGAAGTTGTCATTTTAAAAAACCATATATCTAAGTCATATAATCACATTTAAGTTAATTAGAGAAAATATTTCTCTAAACTTCAGGGTACTGTAATAGTTTATTATAGCCTTGATAGACCTTTATAAATTATAACATCCAGAAGAAAAATGCTGAGAATGTAATATTTGTTTAGGCTTCACAGAGTAAAAATTGTTCTTCAGTCACATACAAAATCTTTGCATTTTCTCAATCAGTCCACAAACTAACTGAAACATAGGCATTATGATTCAACTATATACAGAAGCTAAGATTCCAAAGATATTAAATAACTTGTCCAAGAGTACTCATGAGAGAACATGGAAGTTACATGAATCACAATTGATCACAATTCTGACTCCAAAGTGTTTGCTCTTTCCACTTCATCATATATGTATTTCTGACAAAAAGTATGAGGATCATAAAATATGACTTTAAAAATGCCCATGGCAACATTTTAAGTGGTCTGGATAATCTTTATTTTTAAACTCCATCAAGTTTTTCAAAAAAGGTGTTACTCAATTGTTCAAATGCTAAGACCACGTTGTCGTCTTCATTTTCACATAGTTCACGCAAGGAAACACTGTAAATGGAAATACACACACACACATACACAGAGCACACATTTTAGTGAGAGTCAGCATTATAAGAAGGACTTTCCCCAGGAAGGAGGAACCAAGTAAATTCCACTAAATGATGAAATGATGAAATGTTAGCAAAATATGAAGAATACTGATAAGAAATATATTTATCTTAAAAAGAGTGTATGAAAAAAACAAAACAAAATAAAGATAACAAAAAAATTCCCATGCAGCTCCTCTTCATGTCAATTGCCAAGAGGATTTTAAAGGCCACCAAATTCCATGTAACTTTATCCCTTCTCCCTTCAATAGCAGCAACACAAAGTCCCTTCCTTCTTGCCACACATCTCTTTGGAGGCTATTTTGTGTTTTTTTGGCTATCGTGTCCAGTATATACTGAAATCCACAAGCAAGTACCTCTATGAAGAGCAAAATATTACTTCCTTTAACTAGATATGTGAGAAAATTTTTAAAAACAGGGTGTAAGAAACAGAATAGTGGCCTTTATTTGTGTTCTAATCCCCAGAAATCTAGGACTATGTTAGTTTATATAGCAAAGAGAATTAAGGTTGCAGATGGAATTGAAGTTGCTGATCAGCTGACTTTGTGATAGAAAAATTATCCTGGATTATCTGGGTGGACCCAATATAGTCTCAAAGACTTTTGTGAGAGAGGAGGCAGGAGAGAGTTCATCTCAGAGTAATGCAATATAAGACTTTCCCCACCATTGCTGGCCTTAAAGATGAAGGGGGACCATAATCAAAATAATGCCAGCAACATCTAGAAGCTGGAAAAGAGAATAAAGCAGATTGTCCTAAAGTCTCCAGAAAGAAATGAGCTTTGCCAACATCTTGATTTTAACCCAGTTAGACCTGTTTTGGACTTCAGGCTTCCAGAACTGTAAGATAATAAATTTGTGTTGGTTTAAACCACTAAGTTTGTGGTAATTTGTTACAGCAGCAACAAGAATGAATATGCAAGTGAAAAGAAAGGAGAGAGGAAATTCAATAATGAACAGTGCGGCTGGGTTGATAAAGTACTGACCACGATCAGGATCTGACATTTTATCAGCCTTTTGTAATTCCTTATCTACCTTGGTTGCACTAGAGTTCCAGAATTTTTCCTAGTGTCTTCATTGACCTACCACAAAGAATGACTAGATCTGTATCTATAACACTGAATATACTCCTAGTCATAGACCTATAATTATGACACTGACCCTTTCCTCTTGAATTATTTCCCACAGATATTATGTGACATGTATAAATTCTAACTCACTATTTTTGGTTCTTAGTCCTCAAACTTCATCCTCACTTCTAATGTATCATTAACTAAAATAGAAACTTCATTATCATCACCAACCACATGAACTTTATTGACAATTTCTCTGAATTCTATCCCATAACTATTTCTTTAACCACTCTTTTCCATCATTACTTCTATTTCAGACTCACACTCACTCTCACCTGCATGACTCTTATAACCTTTGAGTCTCTGTCACATATATAAACCATACACATGTCTGTCACACATATAAACCACAGACCCATATCATACTCATACCTATACACTGTCTACACATTATTCAGAACACCAAGCCTAACCTCCATAATATGAGAATTAAGACTCTTTCCAATACATATCCAAATTGCTGTAAAGCTGCTTTAAGCAACTCAGTATCTTCCCCCATCCCTATCACAACTCCCATATTCCCCATGCCACTAGAGTGAGATTGAAGCCTATCCCTGACATACCAGACCCTTTCTCATTTCTGTACTTTGAAAACACTGTTTCCTCTGCCCCATCCCTTAAGATCCTTTAAGATTTAGTGATAAAATTACTTCATTTGAAAATCCTTCTCTAGTGCTCACTTTGGCAGCACATATACTGAAAATCCTTCTCTAAATCCAAGGCTGCCCCATTATCTGTCATCCTAGCACTTATTGCCTTTGTAATAGCTACAAGTCAGTTTCCTCACACTACACTGTAAGATTATGTTTAAAGCAAGGATAGATTTACTGATTCTCTATATCTCAAATGCTTAGAAGTATGTCTCAAACCAATAATATTTCAATATTTTTCAGATTAATGAATGATATTCCTAGGATCAGATTTTGAGACGGCTCCAAAGTCTCTGGGGTTCCCTGGTATACTCTTGAATAACTATGAGCCACTCAAGAAATACACTATCTAAAGATACTCAAGAAACTATATAGAGCAGTTCCCTCTGTTCTAGCATCCCCATAGTTTCATTCTCTGTATAAAACATCCAAACAGGTCTGATTAATCTCAAATCAAAAAATTAAAAATCAATGACCTGATTAGCAAGAAATTCATGAAGAGATTCATGGCAATTGTATGCATGTATGTGAAGATATATAATTTTTAAAGTAAGTGTTAGAAAAGGGAAAACCCATAAAGTATTGAAGGGCATGCAGACTGGAATTTAACCAGGCAACACTAGATGTGCCTAAGGATGGACCATGTAATAAAGCCTTAGGATGGGTTTATCTATATAAAGTTTAGAGTTGTTTGGGTCCCCACTGAATTCTGCTAAAGATGAAAACAGGAAGCCAATATGAGAGAACAGAGTCAGATAAACCCTGGGGAAAAAAACATTATATAAAGCAAGAGAATCCAGATTATGTAAGTTGATATAAACCTGATGGAGCCCTAAGGGGCCTTCTGAAGTATCACGTATCTGACAAACACTGGTTGTGAAAACTGAGAATACTAGGATTTAGGAATTCTTGAGGCTTTGGAATATTATCCTGTTATTATGCAGTGCCTGAGGCTGAGGCTCTGGTCTGAATAAAACATTATGTCAAATGGGCTTTGGGATTAATTCTATTATAGAACCAGTGCAACAGGGTGTTGAAGAGAAGCTCTGCAAAGTGTTTGGGGAGTTAAAATGTGTGACACCTAAGAAGCTCAATGGCATTTTTAAGTACGAGGTCAACATTTTTCAAATTACCATTGAATTTTTGGAAAATCTGAAATCAATATTTAAAATATATAACATACCTGATAGATCTAATGGTGAGTGCAAAATCTTTCAACAAGTAATAAGCAGCTCCTTCATTTATCCTAAACAAAATATGATTTTGAAAATTAATAGTATAAAAACATTAAAGAACTTACTTCATACTGAAATGCTGGACTTGTCAATAATAAATTACTTTTGTCTGTCAAGACATATTTACTAAAACCTTTCACCACAAATCCTAGATGATGATTCAATCAAGAGGAATAATGATTATGAATTCAAAAGTCACAATTATCACAACCACACATAATCAATACACACACTGACCATCTCAGGAGAAAAACAAAATAGGAAAGTTAAGCTCAGGAGAGTGAATGGGAGCTGGAGAATCAAAGAGGAAGAATCAAATGGATTATTTACTAATGTCACAACTTAATTCACAATAATGAGTCATATTTTAAAAAATGATCAGGAATACATCCAAGAGGGAAAATGATGGTGGAGTAGAAAGACCCTAGGCTTGCTTCATCCCATGAACACAACTAGATAACTATCAAAACATCCTAAATACCCCAGAAATCAACCTGAAGACTGACAGAACAAACTCCACAACTGAAGGTAGAAAAGAAATTACATTGAAGAAGGTAGGAAGTGCAGAGATGTGGTTTGGGAGAGAACCTGGATCATGCCCATTGCAGTGGGGTGGCAGCCATGGAGGTGGAGCAGGGCAAGAGACAGACTAGCACACAGTGGAGCATAAAGGGAAGATGATTCTCCATAGCAACCGGCTTGGAAAATCAGAGGGGCTGAATATCATGAGTTCTTGCAACCAATGAGGCTTAAAGCCTAGAATTTTAAAGGTCAGTGGGTTTGGCTCAGATATAGCCCAGGGGTATTGGGGCTGCTTTTGGAGAAAAGGCAGGGCAAACAATCCCTGGATGTATAGTGTGGAAACAGCAATTGAAGACTGCCTGTGGCATACAGTGGGGAGGTTATTTGCTCTTCTCAGAGCATGTCCCATAGAGGCAGTGTTCACAAGAGACCCCTCTGTGAAAAAAGAAACTGATCAGCACCACTTCCTTCCCCCACCCCTTGGAATAAGCACAGGGCTACCTGTAGGAACCAGTAGCATACCAACACTCACTACCTAACTTGCTTCTGCCAAGCTCTGTACCTGCCATGCTCTGGTGGATCCACCCTCCCAAGTCATGCTTGGCTCAGTCCCAGCACTGTAGGCCCCTTTCCCCAGAAGACCAGCCCAAACCCCTGCCTACACTGCATCTCCTGACACAGAAGTTCTACATAAGGCCATTACCCTCAAAAACAGAAGTAGCTGACTTTCCTAACACATGGTAGCTGACACAGAGACAGACAAAATGAGAAGACAGAGGAATCTGTCCCAAATGAAATAACAGGATAAGGCCATGGCCAGAGATCTATGTGAAAAAGAGAATTTAAAGTAATGATCATAAAGATATTCACTGGACTTAAGAATGGAAGACATGAGTGAGAACCTTAATACAGAGATAAGGAATAACATACCAGAAATAAGGGCTCAATAAATGAAATGACAAACATGCTTGATGGAATGAACAGCAGGACGGAAAAGCAGAGGAACAAATTAATGACCTAGAAAACACAGTAACAGAAAGTAGTCAAGCTGAACAAAAGAGAAAAAGGAATGGTTGTCAAAAGAAAGCCAGACTAGCAATACTTATATCGGACAAACTAAACTTTAAAGCAGACTGTAACAAGAGACAGAGAAGGGCACTATGTAATCATAAAGAGGATAATCCAACAAGAAGATACAACAATTGTAAATATTTATGCACCCAACATGGGAGCACCTAAATACATAAAGCAGTTAATAACAATCATAAAGGAACTAACTGATAATAACACAATAATAGTAGGGGACTTTAACATCCCACTTACATCAATGGACAGATCATCTAAACAGAAAATCAACAAGGAAACAGTGGCTTTGAATGACACACTGGACCAGATGAACTTAACAGATATATTCAGAACATTCCACCTTAAAACAGCAGAATACACATTCTTTTCAAGTGCAGATGAAACACTCTCCAGAATAGATCACACGTTAGGCCACAAAAGAAGCCTCAAAAATTCAAAAGGATCAAAATCATACCATATATCCTTTCTAACCACAACCCTAAGAAACTAGAAGTCAATCACAAGAAAAAATCTGGAAGAACCACAAATACATGAAAGTTAAATAACATGGTACAACACAATGAATGGGTCAACTAGGAAATCAAAGAATAAATAAAAAAGATACATGGAAACAAATGAAAATGAAAACACAATGGTCCAAAACCTTTGGGATGCAGCAAAAGTGGTTCTAAGAGGGACATTTATAGCAATACAGTCCCACCTCAATAAGTAAGACAACTCTCAAATAAAAAACCTAACCTTACACCCAAAAAAGTTAGAAAAAGAACAAACAAAACCTAAAACCAGCAGAAGGAAGGAAATAATGAAGATTAGAGCAGAAACAAATGATACAGAAACTAAAACAAACAAACAATAGGCTAGATTAATGTAACCAGAAGGTGGCTCTTTGAAAAAATCAATAAAACTGATAAACCTCTAATCATAAATGAGAGGGAGAAATAGCTATCAACACCAACAGAAATACAAACAATTATAAGAGAATATTATGAAAAACTATATGCCAACAAATTAAACCTGGAAGAAATGATTAAATTCCTAGAAACATAAAACCTACCAAAACTTAAACAGGAAGAAATAGAAAATTTGAACAGACTGAACACCAGTAAAGAAATTGAATTAGTAATCAAAAAACTCCCACAAACAAAAGTCCAAGACCAGATGGCTTCACAGGTAAATTGTACCAAATATTTACAAAAGAGTTAATTCCTATTCTTCTCAAACTATTCCAAAACATAGAAGAGGAAGGAAAACTTCCAAATTCATTCTGAGGCAAGCATTACCCTAATACCAAAACCAGATAAAGACACCACAAAAAAAGAGAACTACAGGCCAATATCTCTGACGAACATAGATGCAAATATCTTCAACAAAATATGAGCAAACCACATCCAACAACACATTAAAAAAAAATCATTTACCATGATCAAGTGGGATTTATTCCTGAGTTGCAAGGGTGGTTCAATATTCACAAAGCAACCAACATGATACATCACATAAATAAAAGAAAGGGTAAGAACCATATGATCATTTTAATAAATGCAGAAAAAGGCATTTGATAAAGTACAACATCCATTCATGACAAAAACCCTCAACAAAGCAGGTTTAGAGGGAACAAACCTCAACATAATAAAGGCCATACATGAAAAACCCACAGCTAGTATCATCCTCAGTGGGGACAAACCGAGAGCTTTCCCCTAACATCAGGAACAAGATAAGGATGTCCATTCTCACCACTCTTCTTCAACATAGTACTGGAAGTCCTAGCCTCAGCAATCAGACAACAAAACAAATAAAAGGCATCTAAATTGGTAAGGAAGAGGTAAAACTCACTCTTTACAGATGATATGATACTATATATAGAAAACCAGAAAGACTCCACTAAAAATCTGCTAGAACTGATAAATGAATTCAGTACAGTCACAGGATACAAAATCAATGTACAGAAATCTGTTGCATTTCTATACACCAATAATGAAGCAGCAGAAAGAGAAATTAAGGAATCAATCCCATTTACAATTGCACCAAAAACAAAAGATACCTAGGAATAAACCTAAACAAAGAGGTGAAAGACCTGTAACCTGAAAACTATAAAATGCTGATGAAAGAAATGAAAGATGACACAAAGAAATGGAGAGACATTCCATGCTCATAGATTAGAAGAACAAATATTGTTAAAATGTTTATACTACACAAAGCAATCTACAGATTCAATGCAATCCCTATCAAAATACCACCAGCATTTTTAACAGAACTACAACAATACAAAAATTTGTATGGAACCACAAGAGACCCTGAATAGCCAAAGCAACCTTGAAAAAGAAAAGCAAAGCTGGAGGCATCACAGTTCCAGACTTCAAGTTATATTACAAAGCTATAATGATCAAGACAGTATGGTACTGACATAAAATAAATACATAGATCAATAGAACAGAATAGAAAACCCAGCAATAAACCCACAATTATATGATCAATTAATCTTTGACAAAGCAGGAAAGAATATCCAATAGAAAAAAGACAGTCTCTTCAACAAATGATGTTGGGAAGACTGAACAGCAACATGCAAAAGAATGAAACTGGAAGGGGCACCTGGGTGGCTTGGTCAGGTAAGTGTCTGCCTTCAGCTCAGGTCATGATCCCAGAGTCCTGGGATTGAGCCCCACATCAGGTTCCCTGCTCAGTGGGGAGTCTGCTTCACCCTCTTCCTTTGCCCCTCCCCCTCTTCTCTCTCTCTCTCTCTCTCACTCTCTCTCAAAATAAATAAAATCTTTAAAAAAAAAAGAGTGAAACTGGAAAACTTTCTTACACCATATATAAAAGTAAATTAAAAATGGATTAAAGACCTAAATGTGAGACCTGAAACCATAAAAATGCTAGAAGAGAGCACAGCAATGATTTCTTTGACATTGAATATAGCAACTTTTTTCTAGATAGCTCCCCTGAGGCAAGGGAAACAAAAGCAAACATAAACTATTAGGACTAGAAATAAGTAGCTTCAGGGGCACCTGGCTGGCTCAGCTGGTAGAATGTGGGACTCTTAATCTCAGGGTTGTGAGTTCAAGCTTCATGTTGGGCGTGGAGCCTACTTTAAAAAAAAAGGTAGGGGCGCCTGGGTGGCTGAATCGTTAAGCATCTGCCTTTGGCTCAGGTCATGATCCCAGGGTCCTGGGATACAGCCCCGCATCAGGCTCCCTGCTCAGCAGGAAGCCTGCTTCTCCCTCTCCCACTCCCCCTGCTTGTGTTCCCTCTCTCGCTGTGTCTCTCTCTGTCAAATAAATAAATAAAATCTTAAAAAAAAAAAAAGGACCTTCTGCAGTGAAGGAAACAATCAACAAAACTAAAAGACAACCTAGGGAATAGAAGAAGATATTTGCAAATGACATACCTGATAAAGGATTGTATCCACAATATATAAAGAATTTATAAAACTCAACATCCAAATACAGATAGTCCAATTAAAAAATGGCAGAAGACCCAAATGGACATTTCTCCAAGGAGGACATACAGATGGCCCACAGACACATGAGGAGATGCTCATCATTACTTGCCATCAGGGAAATGCAAATCAAAACTACAATGAGATATCACCTCACACCTGTCAGAATGGCTAAAATAAAAAAAAAAAAAACAACACAAGAACCAATAGGTTTTGGTGAGGACATGGATAAAGGGTAACCCTCCTGCAATGTTGGTGGAGTGCAGACTGGATCAGCCACTATGAAAAACTGTACAGAGTTTCCTCAAAAAGTTAAAGTTAAAACTACCCTACTATCCATCAATCACACTATTGGGTATTTATCCAAAGAATATAAAAACACTAATTCAAAGGGATATATGCACCCTTATATTATAGCAGTATTATTTACAAAAGCCAAGATATAGAAGCAGCCCATTATCAAGTGTCCATCAATTGACGGATGGAATATTATTCAGCCATTAAAAAGAATGAAATCTTGCCATTTGCAATGAAATGGATGGAGCAGGACAGTATAATGCTAAGTGAAATAAGTCAGCCAGAGAAAAACAAATACTAAAGGATTTCACTCATCTGCGTAATTTAAGAACAAAACAAATAAGCAAAGAGAAAGAGAGAGAGGCGAACCAAGAACTGGACTCTTACCTATAGAGAACAAGCAGGTGTTTACCAGATGGGAGGGGGGCCGAGGGAATGGGTGAAATAGGTGATGGGGATTAAGGAGCACACTTGTCATAATGAACACAAGGTGATTAAAATTAAAATTTTTAAAAAGAATAAAATACATTTGCGTGAGTGAGCTATGAAATAAAAAAAAAATCAACATTTCTCTAGTGTCCCAAGTTTTAAATCCTTTAATTCAATAGAGATTGTTCAAAATTTTATGTAAATTGTCTACTGAATTACTGATTAGTGTGACAGAATGCCCCTCCCACAACTATGTGCTCAGTGCCTGGGCCAATTTCTCTATTCCCAGGTAAATCCAAGAGGGTTTACCCTTCCTTACTGTTTTTGAAAATGATTTCCCTGCCAAAGAGCTAAAACAATTGTCCTATGCTCAGTCCTCAGATGTGTGAGTTATATACCTTTTTATATACTTCTCTCATAATGGTGGGTATGGCAATGTTATTGTTTTTCAGTTTTAAATATCTTATAATGAATAGATAGTATGGTAATAAATAAAAACATATCTGTGAGTGTACATGAATATATCTGTAGGGTACACCTTTAGGTCAAGTGAGTCAGCCTAAGTCCCAAGATTTTGCCAGTAAACCACAAACAAAAATAACACAAAGTTTGTTATTCTCTCTCACCATTAATCTGCAGGAAAAAATTCCAGTATATTTAGCATGATTCACCTACACTTAAAATTGTAAAAAGCTTTGGGGCGCCTGGGTGGCTCAGTCGTTGGGCATCTGCCTTCAGCTCAGGTCATGATCCCAGGGTCCTGGGATCGAGTCCCGCATCGGGCTCCCTGCTCCATGGGGGACCTGCTTCTCCCTCTCCCACTCCCCCTGCTTGTGTTCCTGCTCTCGCTATCTCTCTGTCAAATAAATAAATAAACTCTTTAAAAAAAATTGTAAAAAGCTTTGCCCTAGAATTCATTAGGTTCATCCATTAGATACAGATGTATAGGTAGATACAGAAATAGGACTAGAAGTAGAGGTAGAAATGAAAGAGAAAGATGGAGACACAGACAGGAATGCAGACATGGACACAGAAAGGTAGAAGTAGAAAGATTAGAGGGGGACAGATAGGTGAAGATGGACAAAACATACCCGTTGTCCTGGACTAGTCCTGTCAAGGAACCATGTTTATAGAAATCAAGTGCATAAGCATTAAGTGGCATTCTTCTTCCTTGGTCATCCAATATCTCTGACCACAGCACAGGAGCCTGAGTGTGATTGATACCAATTGTGCGTAGAACGACCTGAAGAAACACAACTCTTTTTGTTATTTATGTGTAAAGAAAGTTTTTGGTTTCTTATATTGTGCTTTGTAGTTCCTTTCTTTATTCAACTTTTTTGAAGCATACTCTTTGTGATGAAGGAAGAGGGTGTCTTTCATACACACTGGGTTGGTGCTGTCCTAAGAAAGTCTGGAGAATGACTTGGTACCACCTATGAGCATTATTGCCTCTTAGCATACTCTTGGCAATTTCAACCGTCCAGCCATGAGAATAATAACAAGAGTCACTAGGAAAGAAAAGTTAATTTTAATTATTTTTCATTATCCTAATTGGTATAGGAGATACCTTGTAAACAGAGCATCAGAGAGCTTGTGCCTTGTATATCTCAAGAGAAGAGTTCAACTGAGCAACTCTAACAATTGCAAGAACCCAATCACCAGAATAAAAAGGGAAGGGAGAGAGATATAGGGGGAAAGAGAAGGAAAGTAAGAATAGGAAGTTAACAAGTCAATAGCTTTTGATGTCTGCTCATTTTATGAAAACTATACAGGGTCAATAGGAACTACTCTAATACACTAATTGGTACAACTACTTTCTCAAATAATTTGGTAGTAGTGTGGAAAGCTCTTTTATTACTATAAGTTCTTGGAATATTCTTATTCCATTATGATCCAGAAAACTGTTTTGACCTCAAAAATCCAGAAGATTTACATTCAAGGGAAACTGTTGCACATGTGCACTAGACATTTGTAGCAGCCCTGTTTGTAACAGTAAAGACTAAAAACAAACACAAACAGTTTAAGAGGAAACTAGATCAATGGCTTGTTTTATATCCACATTCTGAAATATTATGAAGTAGTAAAAATAAAATAGAGCTTCATGTGACAACATGAATGAATCTTGGGAGCAGAGTATTGAGTGCAAAAAGCAAAACAAAACAAAAGCAAAAAACAACACAAAAGCAAAAAACAACATCCAGGAGACTACAGTAAGTGTTCTTTTACTTTTTATAAAAATCAAAAGCAGCAAATATAAAAAGTGACTTTGGAATATGATGTTTTTTAAAGGTGAATTAAAAACACAAAATTCAGGGTAATTGATATCCTGGGGAAAGAGGAGAGACAAGGGAATAAAATAGAGGAGGGTCCTGAGTCCATGGGTGTTCATTTTAGTTTTATGCTTTATAGCTTATCTGTATGTTATTTAAAGATAATATGAATGCTTATTTAGCATTACATTAAAATGTAACAAACAATAAAAGCAAAATAAGTTTTGAGAGGTTATAACTTACACTAGTAAAGTAAAATTGTATAAAGTGATTTGGGTAAGACAAAGGGCATATTGCCATCAAGGCATACTTTAGAAATACTCATCAGTGCAGGATGCTACAAAATGAATGAAATAGAACCAGCCTCTTCTCTCTAGCACACCAGCAGGAACAATGAAAAGCCTGTATTAGGTCATGCCCTGTACCTAAAGATATCTTCTAATTGATGGTCACTGTGTGGCAATAAGACGCAGACATTATATCCTATTATAACTATATCAGTGTCCCTCGAAAACCCCATGGAAAATTTTGCATGTGGAAAGGAAACAAAAGTTAATGGTACCTACTAACCATAAGTTGAATTAATTGTAAAATAGAGAAAAAGAAATTATAATACTTAATTAATATGTCTTGTCTTCAATGTGATTACCTACAAACTTCTTACATAAGTAATTAATTGCAATTATAGAAAAAAATACAGGAAAAAAAGTTTCATAAAATTATTGATCTTATAAGCTAAAGTTCAGTCCTCTATTATTTCTATGCCAGAATTTGACATTCTTCCACATTCTGTAAGACACCACTCACATGAGGGTAAAGAACTAGCCTTAGAGAGCTTCGCATAAGACCTGGAGCAGTGATCTATAAGTAATTTTTAAGCCATGTACGTTATCAGTAAAAAAAAAAAAAAAATCCATTCTCATTTCTTCTTTCATGAATGCTTTTCTCTCCTTTTATAAAACAAAAAGCTTCCTCAAACTTACTTGGGGTTTGAAAATGTACAGAGTAGCAACAAAAAGCCATACTGCTTTCCTATTAAGAAAGTGGATGACTTTAAAGACTACGTAAAAAAATAATTTTTTTCTTTTAAATTAGGTTGTTTCCAATTACTTGAATTCAACAAAATTAAAGTGCATCTAATTAAGTTGCTAATTAAGAGAACATTAAAAATATATTTGTGATAATAGTCTGGTAGGTGATTTGGGGCAAACAGTTCAGAAGAAATTAGAAGAATTGTGTATCACTGTTAGAAAAGTTGTTCCGTTCTGAACTACTTATCTATTTGAATAAAGTTTCTCAATATTCAAATTAAAATTTAAAGTGGAACTCTGTCTCATTCTAAAAATAAGTAAATATTCATTCTTAGTTATATGAACTAATTTAAAAATAAATAGCTTCATCCATCTCATTAATGTATACATTTCTAATACAATATTAATTTTATTTTAGTCATTACTTCTCAAAATTTGTATTATAAGGTTTTGTAATTAGCAAGAAATAATCTGTTGCATACTATTGAAATTGCATACTATTTAAACTGAAATTGCATACTATCTAAGCTAAGAAATGTGATAGATAGGGTGGCTTCATGTTTAAAAATATATTACATTGAGGTCAAATTATGTGGGGGAGTGTATAATCTAAATACAAGAGAAAAGAACAGTGCCAAATTTTAAATCATTGGAAATTTTATTCTTGACTGTTTTAACTTCCTAATTATGGGTATTCAAATGCTTCAGTATTCATATTCCATTTTATACATTAAAAATGATATGATGGCTTTATTTTAACATATCAACATTTATCTGAAGCTGGAAATTATATCATCAGAAATTATTTGAATTTGTGATAAAAATGTATGTGTCCATTTAAAATGCACAAGGGTCTAATATTTAGTTTTTCAAAACTCTTTTAAGTGATACTGGACTATTTTATATAATAGAGGACTGTCTGATTTTGGACTAGAATAGAGTTGAAACTCTAGTGTCAAACCATAATATCAAATATAACAAAACTTATTTTCTTTCTCAAACTTTGTGTTAAAATATAAATTAAATTTCTATAAGTTTATTACAACATTCAGTGAATTATCCAGCATATTCCCAATGTGTCTAGGTCTTTGTACTCCATTTTGGACATCAGTGATCCAGAATATATATGGGATTTACAGCATTTATGGCAATACCAGGAAAGTCTGAAGATAGTTGTATGCTCTTTCCATAGCAAACTTGCATCAAACTACAAAGGTGGAAGAAAAGTGGTGGTACTTGGGAATTCTGTGGAGCAGAATGGAGCAGAGTCCCTCAGGTCAACACTGAAAAACTGAAACCATACTGGCCTCAAGAGTACCATTTCCTGGATATTTCTGTTCATACACCTGGAATTTTTTTTTCAATTTGAGAAATTTGAAATCCTTTCTAAACAGCCTAGAAGCATAAATCCAATTCTTTCTTAAAGATCTTTTATTTATAAACCCCATTTCCACTTACATGGTTCGGAGTATTTGGTAGAAGCAAATCACCATCAGAGTTTCCGGAGAGACAAACAAATGGAGAAATAGCTGCTCTTCCTTCTTTGCAGTTCATCAAATGAGAAACCAGTTCAGAGCCCTCACATTCTTTTCCTGTGAAATCTGTCCATAATAGGTTGGGATAGATTAGTTTTTAAAAATCAGCCAAATTGTTACGCTTTATGCACAGACTCTAGACCATGCCACAAATGAAGTCATTCAAATTTCCAGGACCTATATCAGACCAGATGAGATATATCACATAAAGTGCATAGCATGGGGCGCCTGGGTGGCTCAGTGGGTTAAGCATCTGCCTTCTGCTCAGGTCATGATCTCAGGGTCCTGGGATCAAGTCCCACGTCGGGCTCCCGCTCAGCGGGGAGCCTGCTTCTCCCTCTGCCTGTAGCTCCCCCTGCTTGTACTCTCTCTCTCTCTCTGACAAATAAATAACTAAAATCTTTAAAAAAAAAAAAGTGAGTAGCACATCTTGGCACAGAATACATTCAATAAATGTTAGCTATTAATATTATCAGTATTATAAAATTTTGTATGATGTTTTAGCTCCTTGATCAACAGGTAATAAAAGACTACATCTAGATTGCATGCTTTTAACATAGAATTATTGTTATTACCTTGGTGCTTTTTCCCACTGACTTCAGATCTGGCCTCACAATCCTTCCAGACAGGGTATTCTAAGAGGCCACTATCAGTAGGTTTGGAAATGGCATACAAGAAGAAATATTTTTTTCCATTCCTACTTTTTTTTTAAGATTTTATTTATTTGAGAGAGAGAGAGAGAGAGCACAAGCAGGGGGAGGGGCAGAGGGAGAAGCAGACTCCCACTGAGCAGGGAGCCCAACATGGGGCGCCATCCCTGGACTCCGGGATCATGATCTGAGCGAAAGGCAGACACTTAACCGACTGAGCCACCCAGGGGCTCCCTCCATTCCTACTCTTAAAAAGCACCAGATTGTGCATTCAAAGGTGGCTCTAATTTGTAATGAAGGCACTCCTATTTTGCCTCCTCTGGGATGCTCACAATGCTCCACTGTTACTGTTTGCTTTTGTTCATGCTGTTTCCCACTTTAATAGGGCCCAGGAAGTAAGAGGCTCTGCTTCCTTAACTTTTTCCAATTGAGGATGTTGGGGTATAATGAAATTAGGAAATTACTACCCATGGCTCAACCCTTTCCTTTTATCCCAGTCAGTTTTTCCTGTTTACTTTTCCCTAGAAGATTTCTATCCAATACCTTATGAAAAATAAGAGCAAAGTTAATGTGTTTACTATGTGCTAGGTACTGTTTTAAGATATTCACATATATTAACTGAATTATTTAAAGCTCACCCAAACTAGGTTTGTAATGCTATTCTCTTTTTTATACATCTTTTGAGAAAATTGAGGCATGAGTAAGGAATATTGCCCAAGGTCTCACTTCTAAGAATAGCAGAACCAGAGTTTGGGCCCCGGTAATCTTCCAAGAGTCTATACATATTTCCTCTCAAGAAAATGAGTGATAGAATGGTCTCTCATTTATCTTCACTTCATAAATGCCCTTCCTGCACTTGCCAGGCTTGCCCCAAAAGCAACCTTTAATCAAGATGGTTTATAAATGACTCTATTTAGTTTTATTCTCCATTGCCCTTTTGACTTCTAAAAACCAAGAGTTTCTTTCTTTGAAAGCAGAAGGAATTCCCCTTTTTTAAGGCAGACTGATCTTTCCCAGGCTCTACTCTTCCTCTGGGAAAAATATTCTTAGAAAGATTATTTTTTCTTTAAATCGTTCCACAGTGGAGTTAAGATATACTTACTTATTTTTGACAATGGGAGTTGATATTCCTGTTTCATATCAGCCAATTTGGCAACATTTAGTAGGAAGGAGGCAAAGTCCTTTGTAACGTCCATGTTATACTCACGTAAAGCATCATTAAAATCCTTAGGGAGATCGTCAAGGAACACCTAAATCATCAGAGAGATCATTAAGAACTCCGGAAAGCCAAATATTTTTTTAGAGACATCTGTATACCTTCTTTGAAAACTGAAACTTTGGAAGAATGGCAAAGAACACTGCACTATAATTCTGTAGTTACCTATTTATTCAATAATGTAATTGTTTCATTCCTTCATCCGTGAAATTGAAGTAAAGTTCATTTTTTGTTTCTATGTGCATTTATAAAAACTAGTATCTTCACTCTTAAAAATTTGCTTTCACATTACTTAACCAACACCATCTTTTTTCTTTTTTAATGTTTTTATTTAAATTCCAGTATAGTTAACATCCTGTGTAATATTAGTGTCAAGTGTACAGTATAGTGATTCAACACTTCCATACAACACTGAGTGCTCATCATAAGTGCACTTTTTCCTTTTTTTGTGGGAAAGTTTTTAAAATAACTGACCACAATTCTTTAATAGATACCAGACACAGGACTTTTTATATCTTCCTTGGTTAGTTTGGAAGGTTGCATTTTCTAGGAATTTTCCCATTTTGTCCAAATAACCAAGTGTATTGGCATAAATCATTCATAATATCCTCTTTTGTTCTTTTCAATAGTCGTTAATTAACGACTGAGCCACCCAGGTGTCCCTTATGTTAGATTTTCTATTTGTTTTGTTTTCCTAGCTTCTTAAGCTGAAAAATTAAATCATTGATTTTTTTCAGCTTTTATTCTTTTCTAAGATATGATTATAAGGCTATAAATTTTGCTCTAATCATTGTATGAATTACATCTTGTATTTGTATATTTATTATTGTTTAATTAAAATATTTTATAATTCCATTTTATTTTCATCCTATATGTATTTTTCCTAATTTTTTAATTTTCTTTTTTAAGAATTCTATTTATATTCAAAAGGTATTTTATCACAGTAAGCACTACAAGTACAAATTTAAAAAAAAAAAATCAGTGTTCCAAGGCTTACAACGACTAATCAGGGCTCTCTTACCACCCATGCCCTTAGTCCCAGAACCATGTTAAACTCTTTTGCTATTTCTTCTGGTGACCTATATGTATTTAGAAATGAAGCTATCTAATTTTCAGGCAAGTATTTCCGGTAAGTATTTAGCTGGCATATCTCTTTTTCTATCATTTTACTTTCAACCTTTCTGGGACCTTATGGCTAAGACGTGATTTGTACAAACAGCATATAATTGTGGGTTTTTTCTTAATAATATCTAAAAATGTTAGTATTTTACCTGAAGTATTTAGTACATATATATTCAATGCAGTTACTTATACAGTTGAGTTTATATATACTATTTTAGTATTCAGTTTCTATCCCGACCATATATTATATATTATTTTCTATGTTCTTGTATTTTATCAGTTTTTCTTCTATTAACACTTATTTGTGCACTATTTTGCTAGTGTTTATCCCAGAGAATACAAAATACATCTTTAATTTTTACAACTCTTAATAGTGTAAGAACCTTAAAATATTCAAATATATTTACCCTTCCCAACACTTGCATTATGACCATCATGCATTTTAGTTATGTATATATATTATAGATTTCATAATACACTATAATTATTTTTAGATACAGTAGATATTTATTTATATCTACCCACATTATCCTTTCTAGTATACTTCTTGCCCTGTTACATTTTCAATTCTCCCAAGTTTAGATTTTTTTTGTCTGCCTACAATATATGATATTCCCTTTAGCACATACACAAGAAACTGTCAGAACAATATCAGCAAAGTTGGAGGATACAAAATCAACATAAAAAAATAGTTGGTTTCTATACATTACATAAGTATCTGAAAAGAAAATTAGGACAATCTCATTTGTAATAGCATCAAAAAGAATAGAATATTTAGCTATAAACTTAACCAAGGAGGTGAAAGATCTCTATACTAAAAAGTATGAAACACTCATGAACGAAATTATAGCAGACACAAATAATGCAAAGGCATGCCATACTATTAAGACGTCAAAACTATCCAAATGGATCTACATGTTCATTGCAATTCCTATCAAAATCTCATGGCATTTTTTACAGAAACATAAAAATCAATCCCAAAATTCATATGGAATCACAAAAGACCCTGAATAGTCAAAATAATCTTGAGGGGGGAAAAAGAAACAAATCCAGAGGCATTACATTTCTTAATTTTAAAATATATTACAAAGTTACACTAATTAAAACAGTATTGTACCAGTATCATGAAAGACATATAGACTAATGGAACAAAAGAGAGTCCAGAAATAAATCCAAGTATATATGGTCAAAAGATCTTTGACAAGGGTGCCAAGAACACACAGTGGGGAAAGGATAATCTCTTCAACAAATGGTGTTGGCAAAATTTGATATACACATGTAAAAGAATGATATTGACCCTTACCACACACTGCACATAAAAATAAACTCAAATGCATTAAAGACTTAAATGTAAGACCTGAAACTGTAAAATTCATAAAAGAAAATATAAAGACATTGATCTTGGAAATGATTTTTTTTTATATGACACCAGAAGCACAGGCAACAAAAATGAAAATAAACAAGTAGGACTAAATCAAACTAAAAAGCTTCTGCACAGCAAAGGAAATAATAAAGTGAAAAGGCATTTCCAGAATGAGAGAAAATATTTCTAAGCCCCCTATCTGGTAAGGGGATAATATCCAAATATATATAAGAATCTTCTACAACTCAATAGCAAAAAATCAAAAAAATGGGCAAAGGACTTGATTAGACATCTCTCCAAAGAAGTCATGCAAATGGCCACCATGTGTATTAAAAGTTGCTCAACTGCACTAATCATTCGGGAAATGCAGATGAAGGCCACATGAGATATTGTCTCCTACCTGTTAGTATGGGTATTATCAAAAAATCAAAAAGGTAAGTGTTGAGGAGAATATAGAAAAATTAGAATCCCTATGCACTTTTGGTGGAAACGTACACTGGTGCACCTACTATGGAAAACATTTGGAGTTTTTTCAAAAAATTAAAAATAGAACTACTATATGATCCAGCAATCCCATTCTGATGTATATATCCAAAAGAATTGAAATAAGGATCTTGAAGAGATATCTGTACCCCCATGTTCACTGCAAAATTGTTCACAATAAGCAAGATATGGAAACAAACCAAATGTCCATCAACAGATGAACGGATAAGGTGATGTGGTATATACATACAACAGAATATTATTCCATCTTTAAAAGGAAGAAAATCTTTCCATTTGCAATAACATGGATGAACCTAGAGGATATTATGCTAAGTAAAATAAGCCAGTCACAGAAGGACAAGTAATTCATGATTTCATGTAATGGAATTTATATCTTATAAATTCTACTTATATTCCACTCATATCTTAAATAGTCAAACTCATAGAAGCAGAGACTAGAATGATGACTGCCAGGGCCTGGGTGGAGGAAGAAATGGGGAATTGTTTTTCATTGGATATAAAGTTTCTGTTATGCAAGATAAATAAATTCTAGAGACCTACTGTACAACAAAGTACCTATAGTTAACAATACAATATTGTAAACTTTAAAATACATAAAGAGGATAAATCTCATGTTAAGTGTTCCGACCAAAAAAAAAAAAAAAAAAAGGAAAAAGCCACCTCACACACAAGGAATATGTGATGTGATAAATATGTTTAGGACCTTGGTTGTAGTGATGATATCATGGGTATATGCATATGTCCAAACTCATTAAGACATATACATTAAATGTGTGCAATTCCTTGTATATCAATTACACCTCAATAACAATAGAGCTTAAAAAGGTAGATATATGCATACCCTCCTGATATGTTATTAAATCAATCATAATATATTTATCCTATTTTAAATTATGTTTAAAACATATTCAAAATATACGTAACATATTTATGTACGAAAATAGAGTAGGATGAAATTATTGCCCATTTTTTTCTAGCTTCAGTTATTTTGGTTAAAAAGTCAGCTATCAATATTACTGCTTTTTTTTCAAGGAAATGCCTGTTTCAGCTCTAGCTGGTTTATGATTTTCTCTTTGTTTTTGACTTTCAGTAGTTTTAGTTTAATGTTCATATTTATCCATTTATTTATGTTATATTTGGGGGTTTTTTCACCATAAATTGTTTACAAAAGGACCTGATGAGCTTCAAATGATGTTATCTTCCACCAGAGTGAGTTCTCCCATTTTTTTGTTTGGTTACATGATTGAAGATGTGATCACTTCAGTCCAAGTAGAGACTAAAGTGGTACTGTTGGTATTGCTGGTATTGTTTTCCAGTTTTATTAAGTTCCAGTCTATACCTGATATAACTCTATTCCTGGGTCATGACCCTCTTGGACTTTGAGTATGAGACTGGTGGGTCTTGTTTTCTCAGTCCTAAAAGACTTCCAAAGATCTACCTTTTTCCTACAGAACTTCCTAAACCTTCTACATCTTCCAGCTCTAAAGCTTTCAAAAATGTCTTCAGGGGCATAAATAAATGCAGAACCTTCCTTCTAATGGCTTTTTACTTAATAATTGCCACAAGACTGCAAAAAATTTGGTGTAGTACTCCAACATTGCATGCAGATCTGGTACTCAGTAAACATCCTCAGTAAACTCATAGAAACACTATGCCTCCCAAGTTTCTGTCACTCTAGTCCCATGTGGTCACTAAAAGCTTTAATAATTTTTTTAATCCCATAGAAGAGGCTCTCTGTATATGCTAAGTACAATTTTCAAACCATGTCCAGAATCAACAAATTCTTTGTGAGGAAACCACGATTAAAGATTCCCATCACACCATCAGTAAGTTCTTGCCATTTTACAATTTTAGCCAGCCAAATCCCCATTGTTTCCACAGCTTTCTGTTGCAATACGAATGATAACCACTTACTATATCCATCTGGAAGCACACAAATTTCCAATACCTTTAAAAAAGAGAGAGAGAAAGAAACTGACAGAGTAAGAAAGACAGGAGGCCCCCACACAAAACCTTCCTTTACTGTATATTTTTATGATGTCTTTCTTTGTGAGAATTTAGATACTGACTTTTCTAAGTTAAATATAAATTATTTAAAAAAACAAATAATACTTCAAGAATTTACATGTAATGAAAAAATGTGAAGATGATAGGTCAATGACTAAAGTTGTGTTCACTGGTCAAGAGAACATTCTGTGAGGGCTAAGATTTGTAATTTGACATTGTGGAGTTAACAATATAGATTAACTCATCTCTTTTTGTTCCTTGTCACATTTTACTAAGGTTATTTAGTATAACCTGCCTATCCCACTTTCTCAGATTCTAGTGGGGTATATTAGTAACAGTATTGATGTTGATTTAATAATAGCAAATCCTGATCAAAGAATATGTTGCAAATAAAATTGGAAAAGAGTTTTCCTGCTTTTATTCTATGTGGGTCAAGTAATTATTTCTTCAATGACTATTTTAATATTTTTTCAGTGAGGACATTATAGTTCACAACATATGCTTTTTGCCTGTAGCCCTACCTCAAGGTAAAAAGACCCTAAGGGAACTACATATTCAATGATAGGAACTATTAGTTCATTTATTGTATAAATATCTACATTTTTTTCTCTAGCCACTGAATACTATAATTTGATAGAGTCATACAATCAAATGGAAAACAGGAGCAAAATTCTTTATCTTATTTTTCCTCAAGAAATTTAATCTCTTGATATATTTATATGGAGAGGCTTATGAATTAGAGGTTAAACATAACAGCGATTACAGAAAGAACAAACTATTATTCTATAAAACAAATGAACCCTATATTGATAAAATCCTACTGCCACTGAATCATTTATGGTAGGATCTACTTAATTACATTGATTATTTAATGTTATTAGAAGCATAAATTTTACCTTTGATTGATAAAACTTGACAGTAGTCTCCTGGAACTTTGCTGGAAGAGGTCTTCTTCCAAACAGATTTGCCAAGACTAACAATAGCTTTTCCATAACATCTTGAGAAAAATGTTTTGAGCCTATACAAAACAAAGTGCCTTGTTTAAATGTAAAAAAGTGTGTCAATCCCATTTTCAACATTTAAATTGAATGTTATACTGCATTTCATTTTATGGAAACTGAAAATATGTGACAAATACAGCAACCAAGGAATGACTATATCTGCTGACAGTTTACATCTGTGCCTTCTTTTTCATTCTTGCTACTCCCATGCTAGTTCGGACCAAAATCATTCCAACCACAAATTGCCTCATCTCCTTACTGGATTCTACCCACCCCACGCCCCTCCAACTTCAGGCTATGATCAGTTTTCCTAAAGCATTTTATGATCATATCTTTCACCCATTCAAAAATCTCTGATTGCATCTCAATGCCTCATAAACAAAATCCAATCTCCCCAGCCCAGCATTTAAGGCTTTCCAAAATTCAGCCCACAAATAACCTCCCAGCCTTATCTCCCTGTCTTACCTTCTTGCCACTCATATTAAGATACCATCAACTTGACTTATTTTCTGTCTTTCACAACACATGAGCATTACACTACAGTGATTAAAAAGGTCACACCTTTTATAACTTGGACTCTAGAGTCAGACTACTTATATTTGAATCTTGGCTCTGACACTTATTAAAATTGTGTGACCATGGCAATTTATTTAACTTCTCTGTGTCTGAGTTTCCTTACTTACAAAAGAGTGATAGCCCATATTATGTGCCTCATAAAGTTATCAAATTTTCTATAGCCATGATTATAATAGCATACACCCTCCCACCCCACCCACACCCATACAGCAATGAACATAACTGTACTTCCTGTTGCAGGAAATTATTTCTCCTCTTACAGAGTTTTTAGGGGGACAGAATTTCCTGAGTATTCTTGTTTCACAGAACAACGCATGTCCAGAGCATAGTGACTAGACCTATTGCACAAAGTAAAGTGTTGCTGCTGTCAGTTCATGACAGAAGATAAAGAAATGCTGTGAAAGGCACTGTATTTGCCAGGCATTAGGAAATATAACAAATTTAAGCACCAAAAGGAAAACATTTCTTATGGGGGACACTGTTTAAGGGTCTATGGTTTAATTATAAAAATCAAAGGTTTTTAATTTTAAAAATGTATTAAACGGAATATTAGGCAGGCATTTAAAAGGAATTCACAAAAAGTTTACATGATATTGGCAAAACTATATTTCAGGGAAAACAAGATTCTAGATTATGCAATTAATATATCAGTTATTTAAAAATACTATATAGTTATATTCTAAGAAAATATGATTGGAAGAAAATATTCACAAATACTAATGGTGAACATTATATTTAACATAATGCCTTCCTATATCCCTTTTCTATGATGAGCACATATTACATTTAATTAAGAAAAAATATTTATTAAAAAATCATATATTTTTTAATATGTTCTGAGTCCTGGAGTCCATAGATCACTAAAGTTCATAAGAAACTGACATTTTAAAATAGGTGTCACAAAATATGGTTGTCTCCCATATGATCTATATTAATAGGTATACAAAACTTTATTTTATCCAATTTCGTATCTCTAAATTATCTAAATATTAACTTGTGTTTTCTTTGTAGGAAAAATTTTCCTAAGTGCTAGCTTCACTATAGTCTCTGTTACTCTTTTAAGATTATACACACAAACATCAAGCTTACCTTCCCTAGTTGGCTGACAGAGATTATGGAAAAGGCCTTTTACAAGAAAACTGACAAAAACAAGATTAGAAGGCTCATGATAATGCAAATGTGATACAAGTCCAGCAAACCCCATTGGTTTACCTTCTTGATCTAAATAGCCCTAAAAAACAAAAATAATTTATTAGTTTGACTCAATACATCCATTAATTAATAACTCACTTATTAAGAGCTAGTTTAAAACAGTATTTAATGCCAGTATAAGAGAGATTGGTAATCGTTACCTGGCCCAGTTGCGATACTTATATCAAGTAAAGAAATATTCATCATTGAATATAACCTTCTAAAGACCACAATTAATTCAGCATGATAAAAAATAAAGATAGTACCATTCCTATTTCACAAAAAGACAAAGGACAATCATACCTGTTTCACAAGGAATTGCAAAGAAAACAAGAAATAAAGTTTTAACATCTTCATGACTCTGGGTTTTTTGAAGGACAGCAATGAATGCTTTAGCACTGACAGCACCTTTAAAGAAGAATAATTCACATCATGTTAGTTTTATGAAATATATTTTTAAATAATAATATAGGTATATTATAATTTTAAATTTTTTCTTATGATGTTTTGACATCTTAAAAAAACCTTTTTGAGAAAAACAAACAAACAAACAAACAAAAAACTTTTCTGGTTGGGAAGAGACTGTCCCTTCCCAGGCTAGCTAAATCCTAAAGATAACAACAACTTGCCTAAAAGCATGCCTATCATATACAAACCAACCAATCCCAAGTTTATACCCCCAACTACTTCCTTCCCTAATTCTCACACATCTAGCCAATACTTCTTGTGTCCTAAATCATCCCAGAGCAAGGTCCCAGGCAACAAGAGGCCACCTGCACAGCCCCAAACCCAGCAGAATTATTCAAACTAGCCCGTCCGGGGCGCCTGGGTGGCTCAGTCATTAAGCATCTGCCTTTGGCTCAGGTCATGATCCCAGGATCCTGGGATGGAGCCCTGCATCAGGCTCCCTGCTCAGCGGGAAGCCTGCTTCTCCCTCTCCCAGTCCCCCTGCTTGTGTTCCCTCTCTCGCTGCATCTCTCTCTGTCAAATAAATAAATAAATAAATAATCTTTAAAAAAAATAAAAAATAAATAAACAAACTAGCCCATTCTTAACTGCTTACTCTGCCCTGTCTTGCCTTTTCCATAGAAACTATAATAAAGGCAGGTCACCTAAACCTTCCTACAGCTCCTGTCTTTCTCCTGCTGACCAGCCTGGTACCCTTCACATATAGTCCCACATAGTGTGCCCTGACTCCTGTCTCTGAGGCTTATACTTTATTCTCCTGAAATTTACCTCTGTCTCCTCCCGTCGCTGCACCTATCACATAAAAGAATATAAAACAATAGGATAGATATTACCCATATCTATTATACCACACAGATTCCTGCAATATATAAGATTCAGTTAAATTTCACATTATTTGCTTTACCATCTTCTTACATGGCACAACCTTCCTTTAACAAATAGAACATATAAAACAGAATCATCAGAAATGAAACATATTGCCAAAAATTCTGATAATGAATGTGAACCCAGTTTAAGAGCTTACAGCTCTAGGTTTATTCTAGAGGAAAACAAGATATGCTATTGCATTCCCTGCAGTGTTGTGGCAAAAATAATAGAACTAGGTTGATTAAAACAAGAGTAATAAAAATATTGCTTGGTTGCGGCATCTGGGTGGCTCAGTCGTTAAGCGTCTGCCTTCGGCTCAGGTCATGATCTCAGGGTCCTGGGATCAATCCCTGTGTCAGGCTCCATGCTTAGTGGGGAGTCTGTTTGAGGATTTCTGTCCCTCTCCTTCCGCCCCTCCCCCGCTCATGCTCTCTCTCTCTCTCTCTCTAAAATAGATAAGTCTTTAAAAAGAGAAAAAGAGGGGCGCCTGGGTGGCCCAGTCGTTAAGCGTCTGCCTTCAGCTCAGGTCATGATCCCAGGGTCCTGGGATCGAGCCCCGCATCGGGCTCCCTGCTCTGTGGGAAGCCTGCTTCTCCCTCTCTCACTCCCCCTGCTTGTGTTCCCTCTCTCGCTGTGTCTCTCTCTGTCAAATAAATAAGTAATCTTTTAAAAAAATATTGCTTGGTTTTTGGGGTAAAACAGCACTGAGATAGCAGTTCAGATAACCTTTTAGCTGCCCACTAAAACATCTATGAGGTTCCAATAAAAGGAAAATTTCCTGACATCACCAAATTTAAGCCTGGCTACCATTAGGCCTGAGAGTTTGTAGAACCTGGGAAGAGTCTGTACTCATTGTAAGGCCAATGGACAATGTAAAAAGAAGGTGGGAGGATACAGATGAGAAAAAGAAGGGAGATAGGAAGGGGGACATGGTGTACCTCACCTTTAGTCTAGGATGATTCTTTTTGAGAGTGCCAAAAATGCCCTTTCCTACTACCTCTCTCTCTCTCTCTGTTGCTCTACATTTAGTCATAGATGGCAACAGCAAGAAAACAGCTGAGTAGTAAGAGGGTGAGCAACTCATGGTGGTTCACTGTAATCTTAGAGATGTAAACACATAACTAAAGTCATATTAAGATGGTAAGGACCCTGATAGCAATGCATACCATAGTTTTTAGTGATGAATGACATCCACATGATCAATGTGGCAGTGAGACTGGCAAAAGTGGATCAATAAACTTTCAGTCCAGAAAATCTACATAAGTTTAAAATCTACTAAACACTAACATTTGGGCCAAAAGCTATTCATCTAGCCTCACATTTAATAGGGTATTTGAATAGCACTTAGGTAGCCAGGGAGAAGCCAGAGTGAAATCATACACCCTATTCTTTGGCAATCCATCAGACTTAGAAAAATGTACCTATATTCAAAAGTGAGAAAATAGAAAAACCCACAATAGATCAACTCTTTATAAGAAAATTGATCACCTTCCTAAAATACTAAAATATGCTAAAAATATTTATTAAATGTCTATACCAGGAACTAAGATGACCATCTTTGGCCACAGAGTGCTTATATTCCAGTGGAAAATATAGAGAAAATAAATAAAAACATTGATAGATAGATAGATAGATAGATAAAAAGACAGATAGATGATAGATGATAGATATTTGATGTTATGTAAGGAGTGATACATGCTATATATAAATGAATACGGATCATAGTGCAGCAGACAGGATATACATTTACAATTTAGAAAGCACAGTGGACAGTAGGCTTCACTGAGAGTAATGTTAGAGCAAAAACTGGAATGAGATAAAAGAGTGAGGTTATGTAATGTGCCTGAAATATCCATGGAGCAGGGAGTGGGCTCATGTGGGAGAGCAGGAACAGGTTAGTTCAACAAGATAATCAGGGATCAGGTTCTGCAGAACCACCATAAAAACATTGGCTTTTGGGCGCCTGGGTGGCTCAGTTGGTTAAGCGACTGCCTTCGGCTCAGGTCATGATCCTGGAGTCCCGGGATCGAGTCCCGCATTGGGCTCCCTGCTCAGCAGGGGGTCTGCTTCTCCCTCT